AGTTCCGCGGCGAAAGCAAACAGTGGCCGCCACCAGGCAGAGGAAGCGCCAGAGCAGAGGGAGGGCGGGGCGGGGCCTCGGCAAGTGCTTCCGGGTTGGCACGGGCACGGAGAGGCTCTAGTTCAGGTTTTCTTGATGGTTCCCAGGTGAGAGCGACATCATGTTCACGTGCGCTGGCAGCCTTCGGATGGCCCTCTCTAATCAAACCACGGAATACAGGGGACCTGGTACCTGTTGGGTCATCACTAAATGATTACTGAGTGAAGGGTGGAATCGACTAAGAAGGGGTGCAGGCATGTTTATGTGAACTGTAAGAAGAATTAAGTGAGATGATGCTTTGGAAGTGCTTGGTGACTGGCCAGTCCCGGAATTCAAATCCCAGCTGTCCACTGAGTCACTGGGGGATCCACTGGGAATGCAGCTGAAATTAAACACAAACAAAAACCCTTCTTTTTCAAAACACAAGATAGAACAGAACACCCTTCATATTACAGTGGTGTTATAACAATAGATTAACATAAAATTCTGTGTTCACTCAAAACCAGAGATTTCAAGTGCAAAATGTACTGAGTGATCATGTGTACATTAGGCCACAGATAGCATGCTAGATTCAACTGGTTAAAATAAATACACCACCAATTATAAATCTTGATTTGGCTGGAATAGTCAAATAGCACTCCCCAAATCCATTGGAATATCCTTCACTGCTGCAGGACTATCAGAATGAAGCACCAGCAGAACACTTACTAGAAAAATGAAGAGGACTTTAAAAGAGAAGATGTCTTTAAATCTTCCAGTGGTGCCTGGGTGGCTCAGTCGGTTGAGCTTCCTTCCAACTTTGGCTCAGGTCACAATCTCACAGTTCATGGGTTCGATCCCTGCATCAGGCTCTGTGCTGACAGAGTCTGGAACCTGCTTCAGATTCTGTGTCTCCCTCTCTCTCTGCCCCTTCCCTGCTCGCACTCTGTCTCTCAACAATAAATAAATGTTTAAAAAAAAAAAAAAATCAAAGAGAAGATGTCCCCAGGAGAGAGAGACAAGTTCATAGGGAGGATGAAACAGTGCTTCCCACCTCACCTGAAGAGCCAGGAGCCATGGGAACTTACTGTTACCTGAACTTAATGTTCTTTGTGGGGATTAGGAAATTAGGTTAAACAACAACTGAAAGATACCATCTCCAAGCAACAATTAAATTTTATTTCTGCTTCAACAATAAATACACCTGAGAGTTATTTTTCCAAATCCCACCTTCTGATCAAATGTCCTTAAAATTGAAATCTCACATTACCCTTAATTGTGATCTAGTCCCACTTGGAAATTATATGTTTAGCTTTAAAACCATGACCTTAAAGCTCAAGTCTTACAGAACTGGCTGCTTAGGCACCTCATGATTAGTTTCATTCTTACACTAGCACCTACTGGCTATTAGGCTCCAATTTTCATGTCCATGAAGTGATGGAAGTTTTTCACTCACTCAGAAGCTAAGTTTTGATGCATTTGCCTTCTATGGCATCAAATATGTCTTCTAAGGCCTTCTCTACACACTGGAGAAACTCCCGGGCATTGCGGCCTGGGTAGGAGGAGACGTTGCAGCCTATCCAGTTGTCATGAACAGCATACCCAATGCCAAAGCCATCAGGGACCACAGGGGCAAAGCCACCAATGTTCACTGCTGGGCTGTTCAGAGTGCTCGTGGACAGGATGTTGTGGTTTATCTGCCCATATGCAGGGTCCAGGTATAGCTCAGGCAGAGCAATCCCCTTGGTTGCTGCCAGGTAACGCAGAGCAAATAAGTGTCGGTCAAAGCCCTGGCCTGTCAAAGACAAAATAGGAAACCAGAGTCTCAGAATCCCAGAATTAAGAGACCTTAGTAAAACCTCCCACCCATAGTAGGAGTCCCCTTAACGGCATCTTTGAGAGTGGAAGAAGGGTCTATCTGCCTCCACATGTGCACCTCCAACTCACTAACCTCTGCAGCAGGGCCTAAAATTAAAGTATGATTTTTAAAATTCTGAAACTGAGTTAGTTTAGTCAAGCAGTCAAGAAAATTGCATGAAGAGAGCTATGAATTCAAAAACCAAAATAAAACCCAAAGTCCAAGTCAAGTGTAAAAGACAAGATTGAGTCACTGGAATAAAATATAAAGGGTATTTGACCAGAGTTCTAATCTCAGCTTTACTGCTAATTTTTTGTGCAATGCTGACCCAGTGGCCTCAGTTTCCTACCCCTAAAATGGAGAAGGATGAGACCAGAATGTCTTGGGAGATCCCTTTTACTTCCAGGACTTCTGGCTGCATGAAAAGGACAGGACTATATGGTCCTCCAAATTCTTTCCGGGTCTCCGATTTTACCACAAAGAGGCAAAGGAAGGAGGACACTTAGATTTGGGAAGAACTTCGGAGAAGGCCTATTGATAGGGAGCCAACACACAAGTGAGGTGAAGCAAGAGAGGCCGCAGACTCAGAAATCCTGAACTGTCAGAAGTTAGATGGCCAATAAATAATAATAAATAATAGAAAGACAATCAGCTGAAAGTGACCCTAAGTGAGGATGAAGTTAGATGCATTTCTCCATCCCTGCTTAGGAGGAAAAGAACATTCTGATCCCTAGTGCTAGTCTGACTGTTTAGACTGCTAGGGTAGAAAATAATAATCATCTGGGAGTTGGCAGATGGATTAAACCGGGAAAGCGGTGGAAATTAGACTTGGAGTAGAAGAATATTACTGAGGCTTACCCCAGAGCTGAGGGCAACACGACCCAAGGGCATGCTCCCCAACCCCATCTCACCCATTGCTGCTTCTTTGGTCAGCTGGCCGTGGTACGTGGAGCACTTGGTCATCATCTGCTGAAGCTCTCCAGCACTGTGCTTGGAGGGCTCCCTGACGAAGGCCTGGGAACACCTCTTGGTGAAGATGGAGGCCGGGCGGATGGTCTCAGTGCGGCCGTGCTTGAATGCTGCAGTGCTACAGGACTCGTAGGTGGCCACCGTCTGCCCATACTGCCGCAAGAAGGCCATCTGGAAGGCCAGCTGAGCCACCGAGTCAGGGCTCAGCTTCTGCTTCTTCAAGAACTCTTTGCCTCCTCTCTGAAACTGGATGAGGTCGACAGTGAGGGTTTTCACGGTGGCATCGAACTTTTCCTTAGCGGTGCTGATGCCAGTCTTTAAGGCATCGTTCAGCTTGAAGTTAAGCTTCTGCACGGCGACAGAAGAGTCCGTGCGGGCTGGCTGGCTCTGTGGGGTGACAGCAGGGGCCTGAGTGCTGTCCTTGAACACTTCGTTAAGAAACCTGAGCACCGCCACCCCATCGCCCCAAGCATGCTCAAAGTGGATAGCAGCAGTGCCGTCCTTGGCTATAATGAGGTTAAAGGACTTATCAAACCAGCGGTTTGCGCCGTCACCATGCAGCATGTTGTGAGACAAGTGGACGAGGTCCTTAATGGGGAAGTCATCTAGGCAGAGACAGAACACAGCAGAGTCCACTTTCCTCAGGGCCTCCTCATTGCCACCACTCGCCAGCTTCTGCCTGAGCTCTGCCCAGACGTCTCGGTTCTCGGTGGTCAGATACGCCAGGGGAAACTCGGGGGCAGGGCTACTGTCTGAGAGAATGTACTTCAGATGAGCCTGGATTTCAGAGGCACCCACAATGTTTCCGTCTTGATCTAGGACATCAAAAACATAGAAATGTCCTTTTCTTAGGACCAGGAGGTGCCTAGCCTTCTCATTAGTAAAGAGTTCATCCCGAATGGGTTTGGGTAAACGGGTTGAATTGAAAAGCCGAAAATATTGGGACATATCCAGGGGATAAGCATTGACCAAGTAGGCCCCATACCAGGACAGAGAAGAAGGCACAAAGCGTATGAGTCTCTTGAAGGTATCAGTGTCACTTTTCGCAGGGTTCAAGTGGAAAACCTCTGGCTCCAAAAGACCAGCCCGAAGTGTCTTCAGAAACCGGATGGCAGAAACAGTCATGTTGGTTGCCCTGGTGAGCTGGTCATTATACTCAGACTTTGGGTCAGGGTTGAATGCCATAAATGGATTAAAATTCAAGACAATGGAGTCTCGAGCAGACAGGTACATATCAAACCAGGGGCCTAAAAAATAAAAGTAAAAAAGAACAACATAAAAAGTTAATGTAGTCCCTAAAGATAAAATTTGAGAGAGAAAAACAAGCATATGCAGAGAAAAATGACATCAGCCTCCAGAGGGTGAA